CTCAGTTTGGGAAAGCTTCCTATAAAAGGGTAGGGTATAGAAGACGGAGGGCAGACGTGGCTGTGCAGGGATGTAGATGTGTGTGTGTGTGTGTGTGTGTGTGTGTGTGTGTGTGTGTGTGTGTTGCAGGGATTGGGTGTGGGTGGATAGGATTATAGAAAGAAGATGATGTTGCTTATTATGATGAATCGTTATAATTTTCTTGCATGTCTTCTAATATTTTCCGATTTTTATAAAGGCGTACTTCAACTGAGTCATCTACCCAGAAGTCTTTCACTCAGAAGTCATCTGCCCAGAAAGCATCCAGCCAGACATCTACTGGAAAAACAGTTTGCAGGCTTTGTGCAAAAAGGGTAAACGTTTCATCTGACGAGGAAGAACATGAAAACAAGAAAAGGTGATCACAGTATTGGCTCTCTCAGACTGTACTTCCACATATGATTATGTTATTAAAACACACGCTGGGCTTCAGATTTAGGAAGGGTCCTTTTCAGGGCAGGGAAAGAAGAGTAAAGAACCCTAACTGGAGGAGAAGTTCAGAGAACACTGAAGATAATACTCGCTTATAATGGAAAGAATAATGCTACCATTTTTGGGTCACTTTCTTATTCTTTATCACCATTATATCGTTAAAACCCAGTAAGAAAACCATTTGGAATGGATTTTTTCCATTATTTTGCAGAAGAGAACAAGGAGGTTTAGAGAAGTCACTACGTTGTCCAAGGTTACATATGTCATAAATGTCAGAGCTGGGATTTGGTCTCAGGTCTTTGTGACTCTCCTACACTAAACTAACCACCTTTCCACCTGAACGGTATTATAAGGTCTGCAAAAATCAAGATCTAAAGGTTGGAAATTAATTTTGAACAGCCACCTCTTCAGCTATTACCTTAAAGAACAGTGGTGAAGTGTTGTAGACCCGGGCAAGGTCAGCTTCTGAAGAGGGAGCCAGGATTTTAAACAGTTGTCCATGTGGAAACTAAAGAGTTGTGAAGGGGTTCTATAAATTGTCATACTTTGCATTTCAGTGGAGTCAGCTCATGAGGGTAAAATATCATATGAATGAGATGGATTAATAAAAAATGTTGGTCTTAAAATTATTTCCAGATCACAAAGAAACAGGTGATGATATTGCTTTGATCTTTTAAGAACATAATAAATAAATAGATTTTGAATACTTCATTTTATGTTACCTGCTATATTTTTCCCTTCACCTCCCCCTAGTATTTCTAGAAAATTTTCTTGATATCTCTAAAAATCTTAAAACTTGAGGGAAAAATGAGATTGGGTAAACATATTTCATTTTGAAAGTTACGTTATGACTAAGTAATTTATTTAATGAAAACAATGTATAGCTGAAGAGATTAATCCTTATGTAAAAAAAATTCAAACGATTTTTTAGTGCCTTATGGGAATTTTTCCACGTAAATACATTTATTGTAAAGGCTTCTTTTGTAAAAGAATCACTTCCAAATGCATACATTAAAAAAAAATCTGCTTTTTTATGCATTGGATTAGATTTAAAAGAATATTATCTATATTTAAATTTTTGGGATTGAGAGTGAGAAGACGTGGGCTTTATCATTTTTAAAATCAATTACGCATCAGTGTGACCTTGAATACATCTTGTAAACTTCCTATTCCTCAATTTCTCCACTGATAAAA